TTTCAAGAACGGGAGAAAGCTCGCTTCGCACTGACTGCAGAGCGTGCTTATAAACACTGACGGCACGCCTGCACGTCTTTCTATTGTCATCTCTGACTGGTCGTTTCGGAGCGCTTTAGAGCGCTCTCCTGAACGATAGAGAGAGAGTGATATAAGCTAAGGAAAGGAAAAGGCGCAGCCTCTCTATCTCAGGAGAGCACTCTAAAGCTTTCCGAAACGACCAGTCAAAGATGACATTATTATTGCTCCGGGCTGTCTCCTTTCTACACGTGCCATTCGACAGGCGTATCATGATTGCGATTTTTTTTTTCCGCGGGTAGTTTTTTGATGAAGTCCGATATTTTAGGAAGTAACAGCACAAGGGCACAAGACGAAAGAACCATAATGGGTGCTACAGTGCCTGCATAGCCCACTGTAGTTATTTGTCCTTGCGTTCTTACTTCTTAAATTGTCTCACAACGAACAAACTCGCCCTAGTCAAAATACTGTTAAGTAAACATACTATTTGAGCGAAGGCTGACAGTGTCACGCAGTAGTCGAATGTCAAATACGTGGATGTTTCTGGGAGAGATAGAGGAAAAGAAAGAGACAATACTACGACAGAATTACGGGACACCCAGTATTAAGCAACTGCCGCCCCATCAGATGTGGTTCGAAGTCAATTCTACCATGTTCCATCAATGTCTATTACGGTATGTTGCTTGAAGGTCCTACTGATCACAGGTACGGTCTAAGTGGTGTCGTTAAGCCCAACGTTGAGGTTATGTTCTTCTGGGCGACTGCAACGGCCCTCGACGAGAAAAGGAGAGATAATGAAACAAGCTATACAATAAAATGGTTAGGTTTTCAAGGACTCGAGGTCCAGAAGTTCTTTGACGGATTTCTTCAAAGCTAACTTCAGCGTTACATGACCTTATCTCAGTATGGTAGCTTCAGTCAGCCAGTCGTCGTCTTCAGGTGAAGTGATGTGCGAAGTGAGCAGTACAGGGTGCTGTTAGCGATGGTCCACGGTTCCAGAGTATGCGTGGCGCGTCAGACATTTGCACATCATTGAACTCGTATTCCAGCATTCCACTCGTACCGTGCACAGATCCGAAGCACGGTTTTAGGTGTGAACGCAAGCCGTAGATCAATATATCAGGCTATCGCCAATGGAACGCCCACAGACGTTTACAAAGACGCCGGGCTTAATGGGAGCGTCTCACGCGTCCGTACTTTAATTACCGGTTCAAACACAAAGCCCACGGAGAAGACAGACCGGAAGAGCCTCCCATACATACAGCTCGCACGGGTATACCTTCTGTCCCGTCTCGTCGCAGAGCGACAACGCAGAGGTCCGCTTGCAGGAGAGAAGTGGCTTGCCGAACGTCCTTCCCCAGGTACACATAATACAGCCATTCTCTACGGTGCCTTCACTCAATCAGTCGATTAGGAAGGCGCGTCTCGAAAGTTGGAAACACACACCACACTGCAGCAGCCGAGCAGGGGAGGGGGTGTCAGGACTGCAGAGCCAGCGGGACGACGACACGACGCCGGGTCCCAGTTTCCCGCAGCGCAAACAGATGGCCGTCGTTCCTCCAGCGACGGCCATTGTCAACCGGGGACGGTGGGTGACGTCATCTGTGGGACGGATTGGAGCTTGGCTCGGTGCACCGAGATTGAAGTGACAGACCGTGAAAGCAAAGTACATGAGTGTTCGCTCGGCGCAGGTCTGCGAGCATGCGGCACCTTCTCGTGTCTCTCTGTATGTAGAGAGAAAGAAGGAATCAAAAACTGTGCAACAGAGAAAGAGGGGGTGGGATCAAGGCATGAACACAAAGCAACACGGAGACAGGGAGCTCCGCTTCGAAGGCGGTTTGTGTGTGTACTCACTTAAATTCCAATAAGCCGTAGTCAAGTAAGCATCTCCACCCCGGACCACTCTAGACTGCACCCGCAAGCGGCACGCAGCAAAGGGGGGGGGGGGGGGGGGGGACGCGCGGGATTGTTCGACACGGGGGTGCGCAGAGCGTGCTATCTGGGACGGCAAAGTGAAACAGAAATCAAGTGGGAGCTTAGCGCGATCACGCGGAGAACCGTGGATCAGAAACGTCGCTTTTCTATGATGCTCTTCCCCCACTTCGAGGTGTTCCTCGGGCCCGGACTTTTACAGCGTCAGGCTAGAAACCCCGGACGCTTTTGATGAAGCTTGCGGGGTGTCACGATACTGTAAGACTTGTAGCTGGGCGTTGTTGTTGTTTACTACCCCTCGGCCTCTGCTTTTCCGGATGAAGGCCTCGCAAGCCTTACTCCCTCGACGAGCCACGAATCCCGCAACGTTCGCATCCGCCAAGGCATCCCGTAAACCATCTGTGTATGGTTCATTGTCAAGCGGTGAGTTGAAGGATATACACCGGACGAAATGAAGGCGATGACAGGACAAGAGTCGGAACGCTCTGCTACGATACCTGTCACTTTTCTTCATCAACCTGAGAGAGGGAAAACGTTAAATGTACACAACCGATTGAACGCAATCGAAACTTAAGGAATTGTAAACAGAGGAAGGTAAGCGACTGCTTTCTGTTCCGATTGACAGTGTATCGTGCTGTGCATTTCAAGCAGATGGGTGAAATACTACAGCGAGACACACCGAAGTGGGTGTATCCATCATTCATGCGCAAGTGTAGAAATAGCTCTAAAACATGTGTAGGAAGGGTATCAAAACTGCGCGATCACGTTACAAACCATTATTTCTCCCTCTTCTTTCACCGTTGCCCGCGATAAGCCGCACCGGCTAACACCTCGAGAATGCGCTCATCCGAGCCTTCACGCTTCCCTCTCTTCAACTAGAGAAAATGCATGTACGAACAGTGTGGATAGCGAACAGAAAAAAAATTAAGACAAAAAAAAACGAAACGAAATAAATAAGAGGTACTGAGGCAGAGCGGCCGAGATAAGGCGGGCGTCAAGCGACCAATAATGGTGCGGCGTTGACAGTGAAAGTTGTGCGAGAAGCCGACGCTTGTACCGCGGCGTACTCTCTCTCTCTCTCTCTCTCTCATCCGCACTGCGATACCCTCTTGCGACACGTTTTCTCCTCGCCTGCCCCGTTCTCGATGGGACGCACGTAGCTAAGCGGAGCACGTAGACAGACGGACAGTAATCGCGTGTAAAAAAAAAACCACAAAAAAAAAGTAACGGTTTGCCGTAGCACTGCAGGACTTCTTCGAGAGCCGCGAAAGAGACAGTAGTTTTGTTGGACGACGGAGAGGGAAAAAAGAAAAAAGAAGACTTAAGTTGTCATTTACAAACCGAAGAAGAAGCGCATGCCAGGACACAGGATGATCCTTACGCCGTATCCGTAGCTTCCCTGGCCGAATACCTGCGGATACCTTGAAATGACTGTTCCCGTTGTGCCTTTCGGTGACGAGCCTGCACCTCCAGTGAGTGAGCCGAGACCGCCGCTTTATGTCTATCCTTGTTTCAAACTCATCCACGAATATTTAGAATAACGACTTCTAATGTGACCCGAGCTGTTCAAGTCCTTTGCAAGGATGATGAGAGCATTCAGAGGTGTTTTGTCTTTAGTCCATTGTTCGAAGTCCGCGCATGTCGTAAATATAGCTATAGGGCTGCAGCGCTGATCCGTCAAGTGCGCTCACTCCCCACGCGCTTTTGTCGCAGGTGATGTTCTAGCGTGTTTCTAAAATGAGCACAGCAGGGGGAAAAAAGTTCACAATAAGTAAACAGAGCAAGTGATTTCCAACAGTTTATGGCCACCAACATTCACTCGGTGCCGATGAATCCAGCATTTTAGTGTAACGTTCTCTTGTATATATGGTATGGTACGAACTAAGTTGCCAACTCCGAAGGGCTCCCGCTCGAAAGTAGGTGCGGCGAGATCACCCTTTTAACGTGCATACTGCGTCGCCTATTAAAGTAGCACTGAAGTGCACTTCAGTGGTACTTTATGCATCAAGGGTGATCGTGGTATCCATACAACTAGTACTGACTGAACTCCAGCTAAGCTTTACCGATTCGCGATATGACTAAGTCGCACGGTTTGACTCGTTTTTTCTTGTCAGCTTTTTGAATAGATTACATGATTTAGTACGAGCTTTCGCGTCCTGATTGTTTTCGTGAAATAGACTTTGTACCGTGATATGGTTACTAACATGGTAACTAATTGAATCATTCGTGCCATCGACATACAAGGAGGATACGTGACCACACCGTATGAATCGTGCTTTCTTTTCATTTTAACCTATCTCTGTCTTAATTGGTGCTCAACACAGGTACTTGGATCATAATGAAAACAGTAGCCTTCGGACGATGACGCACAACTGTTTTATTTATTTATTAACTTCCCCATTTTTTTTCGTGGTTCCTTGCAGGAAATAAAGATAGAGGAACGTCTAGGTTCCGCAGTCATCAATGTAGATGTCACGCTCATGCGAATCGTTCGAATTTTCCCGACGCTTATATTACGGAGCTTCGGCAGTTGTGCTCTGCCCTTCCAGGAAGGTAGGTCACCGGTTTCTATCGATATGGCGAGACTTTTTCCAGATTGGTGAGGAAAAGGAGCGCGGGGAAAAAGGAGGGCCGGCGAGGGGCGATGCGATGATGGTGGCGATGGTGATGATGACGAAGCGCTGTCGTCGGCCAACGTTGCGACGTCAGCGTGGCCTTGAACTCGGTGATAGCGGCCCTAGGTTATCTTCTGGGAGAGCGACATTTACACCAAAAAAACTCTATGTCTTTGAACCGACACTGATCGCCACCGTGTTGCGGAGAGAGATGCGTTTGTAGAAGAGTGTTGTATGTAGGTGTGTCACATAGTCGTCCAATCCTCTTTGCTTCTTTTTTTTTACTTTATTGCTTGTTATCGTTCGTTACTACATGGTGCGCCTCAACTGTCTTTGCTTATCAAAGGGCTAGAGGACGTAGCCCTACCGGCCTCAATCTTTTTAATCCTATTTTTAAGAGTGCGGGTGTGACGGTGCTCTTACTTGGGGCGTTTAGTACTGGCTGTGCGTGTGTGTGCTACTGTGCGTGAGGTGCGTAGCCGATAAAGAGGCTTTGTTAAGATGACCGCCCTAGCAGCACGTAGGCGCAGAAAAGGATAGTGATCAGCCCCGACAGCACAAGCCGCAACCGTAAAAGAAACGATTCGCGGAAAACCAGCCGCGGTTATGGTCCAGGCGGACTGCTGTGATGGGATTGTAGACCGCTGGAGTTTCTCGGCGAAGGTCAGTTTTATGGTACTTTAGTTGAATTTACCGCCGCATGGATCGCTAACTATTTGACTTGGACTCCTCGATTTCGTTTCTTCAAAGCTTCGATTTACATTTTGCCTTCGAAGACAATATATCGATTCTGTTGTTTGGTTAGCGCTTGATTTGATTTAGCCGTTTAAGTAGAACTTGAACGCGGCTACTGGACGCGTATGTTTTTCTTCTTTGAACTTTTACATCATGATTACATTTTTTATAATGCAATTTATTAGCGCCGAAGACATCCCTCTCTGATTAGTAAGTTCTCTTCACTGTCGTAAGCACCCGGATCTTACTTGAAGCTGGACTACGCTTGTTGCATTGAGCCATTGCTTCTTCTGGCTCGGTGGGAGGAGATTTGACCGAGACCTGGCAATGGATCTTGGTACATGTTTCAGAACAAGCTTGTTCAACACACACACACACACTAAAGAAAGGAAATGATAGAAATGGACACTTAGCGAAGCTTGCGTACACTTACAAACTTTGCCCCTCTTCGACCACGCGTAAATAGAACGTACAGGGGGACACACGTTCCCAGGCCATTATCTCATTTATTCCAATGGAAGCGTAGATTTTGACCTCCCCCCCCCCCTCCTGTACATCCATTCCGTTAAAAGGTTCTCAACGGTCCATGTTCTTTTCTGTCGTCCGCAGGTGTTTCGTATGATGGAAGATGGATCGCTGGACCTCAGCAGCCTGCGCGAGTCGGACTTCGAGCAGCTGGCCGTGTACCAGGTGCGGGACCAGGTATGCGAAGAAGGCCTGTCCAACAGGGCGGAGGCCTCCCTGCCTCGCAACCTGCTGCTCAAGCCATCGCAGACGCTCAGTGACGTGAGTAGATAACTCATTTTGCCCACATACACGGCTTTGAGACACAATGTATGTGCATATGGACACACGTACTATAGGTGTGCACATTGGTACAGACCTGCAACGCTACCAACTAGGGCGCAGCTAGATGTGGAGAATGCAACAAAAACGATTTCAACCCATCGTGAGCCTATAGTGCTTGCTCATGCACTTGTAAATACGCTTGTACAGTGCATCGTCTAGCCTGACTGTGTCATTTCTTGCAGAATTTAACAAGAGCAAGCAATTAGCTCCTCGTGGCTGATGTCAGATGACAAAAGTGTACTACACATTGAACAACAGCCGCAACCGAATCTCGATTTGATTATACTTGTAGTGCATATTACCATTCGTGCAACTTCGCGAAACTTGCGGGGCTAGTAAATACTGAATTCACTTGTAAGTAGTCATTAAAGGAAAGACGCCTAAGCAGAGGAAGCGCACACCTTTTGGTTACCGGATGTTTATTGAGTCCAAAACCACAGCCCGATCAATAATTTAACGTTGGTGCCGAGATGAAATTTCTGAGAGCACTTTATCAATGAAAAATCACGTGAGCTTTGATAGTAGGCTTGATTGCAGCTTCCATCATTGCAAAAGGTCCATCTGGCACTCTGTTTTTGTCACCATATTTTCAGGAGATGAGCAAGTACCCTTTTTGCACCCCATTGCTGACGCCTAATGCCTTTATGGTCCGTAGATAAGGATGGGTAGAAAGAAAGATGAATAAATTTCTCCTACACCTAATCTGCCTTAATATTGGCGTAAATGATGCCCAGCTAACGAAAATAGAAGATAAATAGAGGCTCGATGGAAGGCACCTCCTTAGGTTGTGGTCGACTGCGCGGTTTCCGCAGGTCGCGGGTTCAAATCCCGGCTGCGGCGGCTGCGTTTCCGATGGAGGCGGAAATGTTGTATGCCCGTGTGGTCAGATTCGGGTGCACGGTAAAGAACCCCAGGTGGTCGAAATTTCTGGAGCCCTCCACTACGGCGTCTCTCATAATCATATGGTGGTTTTGGGACGTTAAACTCCACATATCAATCAATCAATCAACTGCGTGGTTTAATACGGTGCGCGAGAAAGAAGCGGCACGCGGTAAATGTAACAAACAAACAAACGAACAAACGAAAAGAAACTAAGCAAGCACATGTCATCGGGCGAGTCGCGAGTGCGAGGCACGCCGTGGCTGCAGGGTCGGGGCGGCGGCGCGGGCCGCTCCGCAGATAGTGTTTGGAGTGACACAGTTCTGCGATAACCGCCCGCGCTAGGGGCAAGCGCTAAAGAGTCAGTGACACTCCTTATCGCCGTTCAAGGGCACCGACGCGAACGACGCAGCGTTACATCAACAAAGCGTGACTGCGACCGTGAACCCCCATCCGATTTCGGCCATCGCCACAGCCGCTGTCTCGCGGCTTTTCCATCCGGTTACGACATCCCACGCCAGCATAGAGTTATAGCTTGTCGTCTTAACGGTGCAAATTGGACAAGTCGCGCTAAACGGGCGCCAAATGTCGGTCAAGTCACATCGAATGAAGTCGGGCGAGTGATAGACTCGGAAGGTTTCTACAGAGAAGCGCGCACGTGCAAGCCAGTGGGTGAGGCCCGAACTCGAGGGGCCTGTGTTCGGGGAGTAGTTGGTAAGACATTGTTGTTGAAACTTACAAAACTACGATGGGGACGAGAGAACAGGCTGCACTCGGCTACAACCGGAGTGAAAATGTCAGCTTCGCCCTCTGCCATCGATGCCACTCCCGAAAAGAACTTGAACGAGTGATCCGTCCAATAGCGCTTATTCGTTTTTGTGACGTCAGGCGCTTCTTCAACATTTCAGATAGTCGCCTTATCTTCTCACTGATGAACGTTCTTGTCGCTCGCTTTAGGTCCAGGTAAATTTACTCGGCGATTATGACAGCGCTGCTGAGATAAAGGCAATATTTTAGGTAGTAACGACGAACTTTTGACTCTTATTGATAATCTTTAAGAACGTAGCTTGTTAAGGCGTAGGCTTGTCCGGCGTCGTAGTAGTTGTAGTAGCCACCGCTATGGCGATAGCGCTGTAGCACTCGCACCGCTAGTGTTCGACTTGCTCGCTAGATGGTGCTGCGGTGCTCGCTCCCAAGTACGAATTCTCAAACTCACTTTTTAAGGAAAAAAAAAATAAATATAGTTTTTGGTTCATTAGGTATTACGGCTTGGTGGCGCTAGCCACCGCCCGATCTAAAGGGTACAGCCATATCCATCCATCCATCCATCCATCCACTCCGATGCGTGCTCTGTGTGATAGGAAACCGCTGGAGGCGCAGCTATAAAGTGCGTTCGTTCTTGGCGCGCGTCCTCTTCTGCCGACAGTCCGTGTGCTTCGCGTATGAGCGACGGAGACGGCGGGCGGAGGGCTCGGAAAGCGGCTGCAGCACGTGATGCAGTGAAAGCCCGCGAAGCCGAAGCTGCACGGAAGCGCCGGCAAGATGCTGCAGCGATGGTGAAAAGCGCACGGTGTGTTTGTGACGTCTTTACATGACGATCGACTGGGCAAGATTTACGGAGGCTTCACAGTTTACCGATGTTCCTCGAAAGTTGCGCCCACTCATTATCATTCACTCCGCCGATATGCTGCAATTTTTTTATGTAGACCGAGAAAGTGTACTTGGGTTTCGAACGGAAGCCAGTTAGTACGACTGTCTTTCGGAGGTGAAAGGACGAACGGCCATGGTCCATTCGGTGGAGCTGAGAACTGTTATATTATAAGCGAGTATGAAAGACGACGGGACGAACAGTCTTCGTTAGACTGCGTTATTCCTGTCATCTTCCATTCTGTTGCAATGTCCGCAGAAGATCTTGAAAGGCAGCTCAGTCATAGAAGAGAGCCTGAATGAAAACTTCTCGTATGTTATAAGAGTGTATAAATACCGCTGGCTACTGATGGTATAGTATGCGGAAACCTGCGATAGTTAAGTTTGGTTAGACGTTTTCATCGTCAAACATAAATCACCCCTAGTTACCACTAGCCTCTCTCTTTTTGTGGAAAAGGGCTGCAAGTGAAACTGAAAAAAAAGTCTGTTTTCACTCTGGCCTAGAATAGCGCTCACTAAAGCCCATATTATGCTTTCCGTTGTAGCTCACTTCCACCAGAGTGCAGAGCAACAGAACAGTTATATCGTCGGCGTTCTTTCAGACAACACGCCATTGTTTTTTTTAGCGATGCTTCTCGTGCTCTTATACAGAAGCACACGAAGTATGTGCCGCTCCGTGCTCTATGTCTGCTTAGACGTGCCCGTGTTTTACGTGGAAAAGAAAAGTGATTACAATCAACGCTCACATCGGCCTCAAAAAGAAACAGTAACGGTTAAAGCCTCGTCAGGATATGCGTGGCCTCTATTGTTATTCTTGCGGACTCTATCGGCTGGCTGTTTTTTTTTTTTTTTTGTCGCCGCAAACGCTGCAGCGTTGCTTGCATGCACGAAAGTGGCTCTAATCAAGCATGTTATCTTGAAGCCCAGTGGCGGCCACCCAGTAAACTTCATAAGTACGACATTACAATATTCTGAGCTGACTCGTTGTCGCTCTTCGTCCGCTACCCATGCTTCGACACTCCTGCTTCTCAACATGTTGTCCCAGTTGGTTCAAACATTTAAAGTCAAGTGAGCTTTATCCATTACCCCACGCCGCAGAAGTACATCTCGTTTTATGATTAACGCTTCACGGTGGCCAGCAGGATTATTGTTATCGCGTACAACGGACAAGGATAATCCAGAAGACCACGAACAACCGCGGCACCAGTCTCACGCAAATCAAGCGCCTCATCTTTTACGAAAGCTAAGTGACGTTTTGGCTCGGAAGAGGTTAGAAATGAAGGACAAGCAAACATAGTATATATGTTGAATAGTTTTAGGAAGCAGAGTAACTGTTTCGTGCTTTCAAGTTTAAGGAGTACAGGAATGGTACATGTTGAGCATCAGCAATCGTTCAGTAGGCGACAAGTGCGCGTCTCAGTGCGGAATATTACTTGTAGCTTTTCCCGCCTCGTGGTGAATACAGGCTGCAAAATAAAGTAGTGTTTATTGGGAAATAGGAGATAATGCACGGAAACCTATATAAGCATCTCGCCTAGTATACTTTACAATCGCGGAGAAAGGAGAAGAATGGGCAATATTGAGCTCACGTTACAGTGTGCGTGTTATTCTTCTAATGTGCGGCATATGCCCAGCACGCAGTTCTTACAGCTGCAAGCGGGCATGTTCAACTCGCGTGCAAGGCGTCTCGCAGCGAAATGTGGAGTGCTTTGAAAAATAGCTGCACGCTTGTAATGAGCGCTTATTTTGTGCGCGCAGGTTCTGGGCGTCTGGAGCACGGACTACATCCCGCGGGGCACACGGTTCGGCCCCTTGATGGGCGATGTGTACCGCAAGGATGAGGTTCCGGCCAACGCGAACCGCAAGTACTTCTGGCGAGTGTACGACGGGCCCGACTCGTTCCACTACGTGGACGGCTTCGACGTCAGCAAGGCCAACTGGATGCGTTACGTGAACCCGGCCTACTCGAGCGAGAACCAGAATCTGGTCGCCTGTCAAGTCAAGCAGGACATCTACTTCTACACCATCAAGCCCATCTACCCTAACCAGGAACTCCTGGTCTGGTACTGCCGGGAGTTTGCGGAACGACTCAGCTACCCCGTCACCGGAGAGCTTATGCTCCAGAGGATACGTGAGTATCCACTGCCCTTGCCTTGTGGTGTTGTTCCTGTAGTCCACCCGTTGGAACGCGTTTATGTGGATCAGTTTTAACGAGTATCATTCAGAAATAGCAACGAAATAATTTCTCGTGGGGTTACGAAACGAAACCAAGTCAGTCAGTCGGAGAACCTTATTGAAGTCACGAGGAGCCCATCCCCCTCAAGGAGGAGGTTCGGCTGCGGGCCTACTCTCAATGACGCACTGTGTAAATAATTCACTAAGTGCATAATATTTGAGCCGTCTCCTTTAGTGCGGCGTTTGCAGGCTTTACTGTTTATCGTGTAAGGAACGTACTCAACCAAGCTGAATATCTGGTTGGGCGAGGCTACATGACATCATCATTGGCATCATCTATGCAGTGCGAAAGCGTGCAAGGGCATTTTTCCTAATGTTACTAACGTTTCTGCTGGCTGTGTAAAAATTATATTACGAAAGCGCTTTGCCAAAAGGACGAACCACATTCTAACCGTGCCAGGCACTTTGAACTGCGCCATGAACTGCTCCTTTCCTGGAGGAGCGTTAGGCGTTTATTAATATGCTCATGTGTAACGACTGACTGGGTGTAATCCTTCTATTTATATCAGAGCGGTTTATCTCAAGCAATGGGGTTAAAATACGAATTATTATGTGATTCGTATGCACAGTTAAGCAGCTGCGCACGTGGAAGGGTACTTATTTCTGTGACACTGGCAATTAATCAACCGCCGCAATGCATAAGTTTAGCACTCGTGTAGAAAGTCTTACGAAGACGGCCGGTTTATTAATTAAGAGGAACCACTTGACTTTATCCGTTCGAAGAATCGACTCGACACGTGATGCCGCGATTAAGAACAATCTCCCTTCTTGGTTTTGCAGGGGAGCAACTGCAGCCAGCGGTCAAGGATGACGCCTACTTCTCCCGGCCGCACCAGCTGACGCCGCCCGAGGGCAGCACTCGCAGCGACGAGGGCTATCACAGCAATGGCGGTCCCGAGGACGGCCTCACGCCTCCTGAGGACAGCAGTGACAGCGACAGCGACAACTATGTGCTCGACTTCAGCGTCAAAGCCAAGCGCAAGCAGCCGCCCGTCGGCGGCAGCGACAAGGCGGAGAAGCGAGACGACAAGTGCGAGTCGGTCGCCGTCGTCGCTGCCGAGCAGCAGCAGCCCGACAAGTCGCCGCAGAACGAGTTCCGGAAGGTCAAGATCAAGATGCCCAAGGCGTACCACTACCGCAGCGGCGGGCCCAGCAGCCCACCAGCGGCCGCGGTGGTCACCACCAGCGACGAGAATCCGAGGCCCAACAGCTCGAGCTCGCCGGAGCGACGGCATGACGACGAGAAGCGGCTGGGCGCGCTGCATGAGCCAGCCAGTCCCAAGTACGCCAGCGCGCCCCGGTTCACTGAGGACGTGCTGGAGCGTAGCGCCAGCTCGGCCTTCTCTACTTACGAGGGCATGGGCCAGAGGATTTCGCCGCAGAGTCCCAAGGGTCCTCCGGCTCCTGGCATTCTCGAGAACTTGCTTCTGCAGCGGTACCAGGAGCGCGCCGCCGCCGCGGGCCCAGAAGCGCCCGCGTTGCGCCGCGAGTCGCTCAAGGAGCCCGTGCGGGTTATCGTGTCCAGCGAAGTGTCACCGCCGGCCGCTCCCGACACCTCGGGCGAGGGAGGCCACCCGCCCGGCCCACCGCCACCACTCGTGTTCCCGCACAAGAAGAGCATACGCTACCACCCGGGCAATAGCAACAGTAATGGAGGCAGCCCCGAGATGCACAGTCCCGACTCCACGGACAAAGCGCACCAGCAGCCCGCCGTGTCGTCTGCCATGAGCCCTGGCTACGGCGTGCCGGGTTCGGCGCCGGCGAACTACCTCTACATGAACGGCATCGCTCCCATGTTTTCGCCGGCGCACTTCAACATGTACGCGTACTCCGTTCCCGAGACTGTGCACTCGTCGCTCGCTTCGCCATCGGCGGCCATGCCTCCCTACCCGAAGTTGCCCGAGTTCGGCGGGCACCACGGCCCTCACCACGCGATGCTGCCAATGTCTGCGGAAACGGGAAAACTCCCACCGTCCGGCGGCAGCTCACCCGGCAGCAACAGGCCCTACTCGCCGGGCTCCAACCCTCGGGGTTACCGGTCGTTGCCGTACCCGCTCAAGAAGAAGGACGGCAAGATGCACTACGAGTGCAACATCTGCTACAAGACGTTCGGCCAGCTGTCCAACCTCAAGGTGCACCTGCGCACGCACTCCGGAGAGCGTCCGTTCACGTGCTCCGTGTGCGGCAAGACGTTCACGCAATTGGCCCACCTGCAGAAACACCACCTCGTGCACACGGGCGAGAAACCGCACCAGTGCGACGTCTGCAAGAAGCGCTTCAGCAGCACCAGCAACCTCAAGACGCACCTGCGGCTCCACTCGGGCCAGAAACCGTACGCCTGCGACCTCTGCCCAGCCAAGTTCACCCAGTTCGTGCACCTCAAGTTGCACAAGAGGTTGCACACCAACGAGAGGCCGTACACCTGCCAGACGTGCAAGAAAAAGTACATCAGCGCGTCGGGCCTGAGGACCCACTGGAAGACCACGTCATGTCAACCCAACATGGTCTTGGACATGGAGCTCGACAAGGGTCCGAATGACTACGACTACGGCCCCATGGAGTTGTCCCCTCCACTGGCGATGGAGAGGCACCCCGCAGGCCTCTCCCACCACGGGCTTGGCCCAGCAAGCCCCGGTGACGAGTACCCCCCTGCGTTACACCACCCACCACCGCGACCTTCGAGCAAGGAGAGCGACTACCCGTCATCATTCCACCGCTCCGATGGCGCAAAGACGTCGGTGATCAGCAGTGGTCCGGCGTCGCCCGACGACGACCTCTCCAAGAAGTGCCACCCGACGCCCGACAGAGACAAAGAGTGACTGTTTGCGCGCGTGATGTGTGCGCCTCATCGCGCAGATCGTTTTGTGCGCGAACTATGTACAAAGCAAAACTCAAGTCATGGGCCCGGGTGGCCGTTCTCACACAATCGCGCAACGCGACGTCGGGCGCGCGCGGTATCCCTCTCTCGCCCTCTCACCGGTCTCTTACCGAGACTGTATTTATTGTTTCGCGCGGCTGGAGACGCGGGGGCCTGCGGGCCGGTCGGCCCATCTTTCCATACACATTCCAGGAGCGGCGGTGCGTCTTGTATTTCGTGGAGGAAGCGAAGCGACCTAGGAGGGAGCATGACGTCAGGGCATCTATACATTGGGCAAAGCCAAGTTCCTCTGCACACTCATGTCACGCCATTCCCTACTCTTTGCCTACCGTCCTCGGGCGACAAGTGCGCGAGGTGAACGACATGCAGTAGTAATTCGCGCAGCTTTCAGCCTTATTTGCCACTTGAAACATGAAAATCGGAACCTCTCGCGCAATTGCACGACCATTTTCGTATGTTATTAGAGGGAAGTCTGACGTTATAGATCAGAACTCATTGGAATAATGGCCGTTTTTTGTGCGTGTGTGTGTGACTAAATTTATTCTCCTACCTCAGCACGCCGCATCTCTATGTTGGGAAGTATGTCCTGCCTGTTTGTTTATACATTCGAGTACATTATCGCAGAATAAGTAATCATCCAGTCTTTTCCTGTTCATCAGCACCAGCTAGATAAAATATCGACGGATTATTATATTGCCACATACCATCATCAGAATCACCGACATATGCGCATGACTGTCATGTTACAGGAGACTTATCATTGCCCTACAACCACCGAGAATTTCCACATGAGAATCCAAAATTATTTATAGGCCAAAATGCAAACTTTATGCAATGATTTATATAGCCCAAGATCCTCCAGGTGGCCAAAAATGCAGCACTGACTCCGCACGTAGACAGTGACGTCAGATTTCCCTCTGGTATTAGTATGAAACTGTGGTTCAAGGCATTGCTGGGTTCTGGGTAGCCTTTAGTGGCCCACTATCAGCGCTCTCTACAACGTGGGTGAGGTGGCTAAAATCTACCCCTTACCCAGGCACGCAAAAGGGATGTCATTGACCCACCCTTCGCTGCAGTTTTATCAATATGCTTTAAAATTGTCACATGATGCTCTCTCCTAGTTCTAAATTGTAATGAAATCGCTTGAGCTTCCTCCGCGCTTGTCCCCGTTCTTGACGTACCCAGTGCTCACACAAAAACTTCGTGCAACATCGACATCATCCACTGATCGCCACACACACGGGCTTGCAACGGTGGCGCTGCTTATCGCGACACGTGTAGTGCGAAAACGTCATCGCACAGTGCGACTACCTGGTTCCAATCAAAAAGCGCCCTCTCGAGGCGGTTCTAGAAGAGCTAATAATAGAAGTAGCAGCAGATCAGCGAAGAACAGACAATTGAATAAGAGCTTGTGGGTGGTGGTCGCAACATACATTTGTTCTAGGGATTCCCCACACCTGTCGTCTCTTTTATTTTTATCTGCCCTCCTCTCTCATATCTGCCTGTTTTATGACAATGTTTCCCCACGCACACGCAGTACGTAAAATCGTCCACTGCCGGTCAGTTGGCGCTTGCGCACTCCCACTCCGTTCCCGCCCCATTATTTTTATTATTAAAGTGTTCCCACCGAAAGATGCGATACTGTTGAAATCTGCGATATATACACGAGGTACACTGCAGTCCTTTGTCTGTCCGCGAAACCGTCTGTCACTCATTGTTAAAGTCGTGGTCGCACCCCTATAGTGGCGAGAACCTCGCGTGGTGAACCATTTCGCAATTCAGAAATACCTCAACGTTGCCATGGTAACACCAGAGCATGTCACGTCTCGTCAAGTGTTCGGGTGTGTGATGTCACGTGTCTCTGTCACATGATCTCGTCAACGAGAGAAGCTCGATCAACGCGTTGCTTGTAACCGTGGTCTCCGCGATAGGCTCAGGATTTGCTCTAACGAGGCTCTGCCGGAGCCAATCGCGGAGGCCGCGTTGCGACTGTGGTGATTTCTGGCAGGCGCGAAAGGTGGCGAACGTGGTGGCCGCGCTGGTTATGCCGCCTAGTTTGACCGCACATTCATGCTTCCTTCAATTAAAGAGAGCGTGGCCTGAAATTTTCGAAGATTAGCCGATAAATTATGACAGTCTCGATATGTCACTAATGACGAAATAAAGGCAAGGAAGTTAACGCTAAAGCATTAGAGGTGTTGCACTTTGTGATGAGTACACTAAAGGCACGGACTATTTGGAAATATGACGAGCGTTGATTAATGGGTGTTGCGCTGCTGCGGTCGAGGTTGCCGGTTCGATTACCGCGTTCTGCTACCGCATTTCTGTGGTGGTGAACGCGCAAGAAAAAAGAAGTTCATGTAATTAAATACTCGTACACATCGAAAAACCACTTCCGATATATTCAAAGCTTTTCCAAGCCTTTCACTACGACGCCTACCAAAACCCAATTGTTTCAATGAGATCGTAAGCAGATTTAATCGATCAAATCAAGTTTCCAAAAAGGACAATACGTCTAAGCTTTCATTCCACATTCGAGTGAAACTTCAGCACTACGAAAAATAACAATATTTAGTTGGACTATGACAAGCCTGATTGGTCACGCGCTGATGAAGTTAACAGAGAGATGCATTTCATTTCGCGGTTTGCTTCTGAGGGCACGAGAACAATTTAGGATCAGGAATGCCGTGCGAAGTTCCATTGCTTTTACCGCCTGCGTAGTGACTTGTCGATCACACGCGGAGGACATACGCCGTTACGTGAATCTGTTTCCTTCGACCGTTGTCAGAGGTCATATTCAGTTGCGATCTTCTTTATTAACAATCCTCTACTACCAACCTCAGACATTGCCTCGTAAAAAGCGACGAAATTACCTAGCAAAGGAAATTCGTCTTTTATCATGGCCTACGCTGGAAGAACATGAAGAAGCCTTTCTATTGCAGCCATGTATTCGGGTTTTCCTCTGTAGCTTCCTGCAGCGGCGTGGTTGATGACATCATTTTCTTGCACGAGTCTTTCTACACACCACGCGCGTGTTACATGCCTCGTTCAAAAACAAAGTTCGTCCAGTCGCTTCGTAATGCAGAATAAAACATCGTCGCGCGGCCGTGGCAAAGCAGCTGCCCTGGAAAGGAAGTGGCATGAGGTTCGATCCCCTTGTAAAGACGGACACTTCCTAAAGAGCGAAACTTCCTTTCCGATGAACCTGTTCACATTATCTCTATGGCTAGACGCCACAATTGTCATTTCTTTTGAACCTATAGCTGGCAGGGTACCACGGACCCCCCCCCCCCCCCTTTTTTTTTGGTAATAACAGAAAATGAAAGAAAATTAACACGAGTAGCGGTATTTGTATCAAATGCGTGGGCCTTCTTTTAAAACTTGTTTTCAATTACGTGTACGCCTCGGGCATTTATTACTTCTTTTTTTCTCTCTCTCTTCTCTGTGATTTAGACTGCGCAGCATTGCACTTCACACAGCTTGGGTGGGGAGTAAATCGGAGACAAGGGAACGCGCCCTCCCAACCTGAGGTATTTATTGTCGCAGAAGAACGAAGCCTTGTACATAACTTGTAGTTCGACAAAATGCACGCGTCTTAAGCGTACGCGCGCGAGTCTGTATGTTTATCGGGCATGTGTAAATCTCTCTCGTTAAACAAAAGAATCCTGCGGACAGACACAAGAGACGCAAATCTTTAGGGTGCCCCCGACGGCGACAGGAAAGAGAAACAGGACGTCAAACACAACACAAAACAATCGCACTCCACCATTCATTCCACTTCATCTGCAACAACAGACACAGATCCCAGCGTTTCGCTGCGCCGTACTACGTGTGATTTTTAGTCCGTTGTCTCTCGTGGGTCAACTCTGGCCGATATTATATAGTTGTAGTAATTGTCGTATACCTTCGGAGATATTATGGGTTATTTATCGTCCCCTACGAAGAGAACTGGTGGATCAAGTATATTAAGGTGTTCATATCGTCCCTACCCCACCCGTTTCCCCCTGCCTCTCGTCCCCCCCCCCCCTTTTTTTTTGAAGTCGTCAGATATATATATATAATATAATTTTTTTCTCCTCTTACGCTACGCGTTGCCGTGTTCGACATGAGCTCCGTTCACGCCACCGCTGTTGCTCAAAATTTTCTGTCTTTCTATCTCTCTATCTTTTTACTTTCTTCGTGGAACACGCCAGAATTGCGAAGTCGAAAGCTGATGTAAACTTCTCGACAGGCAAACAACACGTACTCCCGCAACAGAACAGCGAGTTTATGCGCATCATTCGTCAAAAGCGGAAAACTAAAACCTCCCCGTATCGACTATATATCTTTTACACAACGTCGTCTTTGGTCAGAACATTGGTTACCACAACATTCATTCGAGTTGTATATACGCTGCAATTTCACCAAGATCTATGCTGAAGGCTTTCAATCTCTTATGGGCATTTCTAGATTGGTATCATGCTCCCCTCTCTGCCTTTCCGCGCTTGACGCATTGATGTGTATTGATTTCACACAATAGACGCCGATAAAATTGAACCACTACGTTGTCACTTGAATTGGTCCCCACCGGGCTTTCATGGCGTCCACATTCGACAACACTGTTCGGAGAAATGATTCCTCATGTGCCACACGGCGAACCGAGCTACCCTCGGCGCGCCAGCTAGAGGCAAAAGCGTGCGGAACATTGATCCGCGTTTCCTTAATTCTAAACTATAGAAAAAAAGTGGTAGAGAAAGTTGCACAATTGCGCGAAATTGGTGCCAATGGGAGATACATCCCACCGGCGCATTTTCTGGTAAAAACGTCCTTGAATTCGCGTCACATGGGAAACTCACAATTGAAAGCACTAAGAAAATACAGAATAGCAATGAAAATACTTCTAGATGAGCGCCATACGCTTCAGGCCCATATTGCGGTTATGCCATAATAAATGACGTGTTGTTCGCCTGTCTTTATCAGAGGCTCTGGTTGGCTTATTTTTGTCGTGTTACTGACTCGTTATATGCCTTGTTCTTGCCAACATTGTCTACACATGTGTTCGACGCAAGCACTTTGCAATTTGCGATTACACTACGGTAACTGGGGAATAGCAAAAAAAAAAAGAATGATACAGTTGCTGGGGTAACGCTTACAGATCTCGTATGTACATTCCTTGCCTAAGGGGCTTTTTTTTTGTAAATGTGCAATTGAAAGTTCGTGTGTATTTCTCTTTACATTTCTTCACACGTCGTCATCTGTTCGTCTCAAATCAAAGGAACAAAAAAAAAGAGACGACTATGCTGCAAAGGGCACACAACATCTACGTGCTTGTTCAACAGGGGCACATATTTGCCGACATGTGTGCTTTTCCATTGTCCCGTGACGTTTCCTTGAACAGGAAAACCAAAGTGGAAAGTGACACCAGGTGGCGATAAATCAAATTGTAAAACAAAACAAAAAACTACGCGAGAATGACAACTTTATCGAAACGTTTCCAGCTTTGTCGTTCAACGAAAAGCCAAGCCAATCCGGCTGCCAACACGAGGTGCTTAGCCCTGTCCCATGTCACACTTAACGCCACTGGAGATGCACCCTTCGATTGTACTGTTGCGTATAGACGACTCACAATAAGTGTACCAAGTAGATTGAGTGTTCTTGATGTTCACTTAAGCGTGTGTGGAGCGGTGAAGCTGGTGACAATATGTAACGTTCCCGGATGGAATCAGAATTAGAGCCAGTGCATCGGCATTACCCGAGAAGCATAGTAAG